CTCTTCGAACAGGTCTCCAGACCTTAGGACATTCATTCTCGAAATGTTGTGGATCACCACATTTTGAGCACCTGAGTGCACTTCAGCCAACAGGTTTTACAAAATTCCTTTTGAAATGATTTTTATAAGCTTGTCGAGGAGATCTTTGTCTTAATCTCTCCTTGACCTTTGGAAAATCAATTAAGCTATCGCTTTCCTTCACAAATCCGAGAGCAGATTTGTTGTAGTAAGGAATTTGGATAGAAAGGATATGCTTTAAGGTTTCTGAACCCTTTGAAAATTTGGAAGTAATTTCTGAAACTTGGTTTTTTAAAATAGCATTTTCTTTGGAAAGAAAATCTCGACTTTCCTTGACTTGATGAAATTCTTTTTGAAGGAAATCGATTTTTTTCTTTTTGTGAAACATCTTGTTGTCTCAGTGATGAATTTTCCTTTTTCAAAGAAGAAATGCATTTAAGAGCAGTCTTAAATTCAAAGCATAATTCATCAATGTAATTTGATACTTCAATAGGCATGTCAGAATGTTTTACTTCAATCTCCACTTTAGGATCATAATCTAAATCTGAATCTTAGTCTGAGTCTGACTTTGCCATTAGACAGAAATTTGAGATATCTTCATCACTGTCTTCGCACTCTGTATCACTCCGGGTTTTTGCTTTTAAGGCCTTCTTTGCTTTCTCAAACTTGGTCTTCTTTTTCAGAAGTGGACAATTTGGCTTGATATGTCCACGTTTCTTACAATGAAAGCATATAACATCCTTTGATCTCTCAGTTTCATCGAAAGACTTCTTCTTCTCAAAAGGCTTCTTACCTTTGAGGTTTCTTCCTTTGATCTTCATTTTCTTATACTTCTTTATAAAGAGGGCTAGTTCTTCATCGTCAACATCTTCATCTTCAGAATCTGCATCAGAATCAATGTTAGTCTTCAAAGCAATTGACTTATTACCTCTGGATTCAATCTCCTCATTCTGTTTCTCAGTCTCATATAATTGAAGAGTTCTAATTAACTCATTCACTGATAGAGGCTTGATCCTTTGTGTCTCTCGAAGAGATGTTTTGATGTTATCCCACTGATTTGTCAGTCCTCTCATAAGTTTGTTGACTTTCATTGCATCTGAAACTGGTTGACCTTGATAAGCAAAACCGTTTACTATATCAGTAAACCTGTCATACAAATCAGCAATTGATTCTCCAGGCTTCATTTTGAAGGATTCATATTGACCAAGCAAAAGATTGATTTGAGTTTCCTTGGCCCGATCTGTTCCTTCATAAGTAACAAGGAGAGTATCCCAGATTTCCATAGCTGATTCACAAGTAGCAATTTTTTTTTATATTCAATAGGTGATAAAGCACAATAAAGAGAATAAATTGCTTTGGAATCTAAGGTTTCTCTTTTGGATATCTCAGTTTGAGATAATGGAGGATCTGCTGCTTTGCTTGCATCTGTCTTTTCTTTTGAATCAGAAGATCTTGGATTGACTCCTCTGATGATGACATCCAATTGCATGTGATCAATTGACTTTATGAATGCCTTCATCTTATTCTTCCAGACACTATATTCCTTGCCATCGAAATATGGTGGTCTGTTGTTGCTCTGTCCTTCAATGAGCCCTGGAGCACCATAGCTAGCCATATAGATCGTTAGCTTAGAAGTAAGACACTTCAATAAATGAGCAACCTGCTCTGATACCATACCAATTGATGTAGCTAGCAAGGATCACCTAGATGGGGGTGAATAGGTTATCTAAAACAATTTTTAATAATTTATGCGGAAACAAAATAAATCACAGAAGAGTCTGAACAAAATTCAGATTCAAGACAGATTATATAGACTGTGCTCTTGATGTGCAGAATATAAAGTAAGAGATAAGGGATAGAGAATCTACACACAAGTTTATAGTGGTTCGGCATAGCAAGCCTACGTCCACTCTCCCACGCTTACTGACTTACCTAGGATTTCACTATGTAATCAAGAGGAATTACAACTTCTGAGTGTTAATACTCTTGTGTATGATAGGAGTCTCTATCTCATACAATCACTCTTACAAAGTGTCCCTCAGGATCTTAATGTTTGGCTTAGAACGACAAGAGAAATGATTGGAGTATGCTCAAACTTTGGACTTGTTGATTCTTGATTCTGTTCTTCCTTCTGCTGCTCGTTGATCTCCTTAAATACTCCTCTACTTCCAAACTAGCCGTTGGACAGCATTCAGACGATCATCTTCCAATCTTCACCTTGGACAGATTTGTATAGAAAGGATTGAGTAGCCGTTGGATGACAGATTCTGAATCCCGCTGATTCTGGTCGCCCATACAATCAGAATCTTGGTTTCCATAAGTAGAGCTTTGTCCGTTGAAATGTATTCTTGTCGTAATGTTTGATTGTCAATCAATTTGATTAAGATTGAGACAATCATAACATTCCTTCCGTGAAATCCATGCCGGATCACTACCGTTATGATTTGTTCGACTGCGTCCGAAGAAATTCTCAGCGTCGAATAATTTCTGCATCTCGTCTCGCATCTCCGAATAACTTCGCTTCGCATCTCGCATCCGAATAACTCTCAGCGTCGAATCTCGTAACCTAGATTATGTGGGTCTTCATAAACATACTTGACAGTTTGTAAAGTTTGAATAATTTCCTTCTGAGTTTCCAGAACATAAATACCTTGAATAAATTAGTTCAGAATAAGTATCAGACTTATAATTATGTGGAAGGTTTTGTCAACTTCAAAATTAATAGGAGTTTTCCTCAACAACTAGATCCAACGAGCTAGGCGAGGCTCGAGCCTCGCCTAGCTCGTCGGATCTGGCAAGGCTCGAGCTCGCCCGACTGGCCTTGGGCGAGCTCGTCGGCGCCAGATCAGGTGAGCCAAAGCCTTGCCGGCCTGTGGTAAGGCTCGAGCTGGCTGGTCGCCGGCCGCCGCTGTGGCCAGCGACCAGCTGAGGAAGAAGAAGAAGAAGGAAAAATATATATATTTTTAATGACTTTTGGGAAAATTAAAAATATTTTCCGAAACCTTTTCAAGTTTCAACCGAACACCAGAAAATTGTGTCATTTTCCACAAACGTAACATTTTCCGTGAAACGAACGGAGCCTTAATGTGAGAGACCTTTCTCCTTATTTGGAGGATGAAGACTTGTCAGATTTGAGGACAAGCCTCAAACAACCCAGGGAGGATGATGGGGGAGCATCCGACTTAATTCCATTGACGAATTCAGCACAATCGATGTTCATTAAAGCTAAGACAAAATTCGGTTATAACTTACTTCGATGAGTTGAGAATGAATTTGTCGATAGAAAGACTATCAATCAGGTTACCGATTGATGAGTTGCCGGTTCTTCCTTGCCGTTCAAGTATTGAGTTATTGATTCACTAGTATAGTTGCCGATTTCAATACTAGTCAAACATATGGATGGGAGGCTGTTCTAAGTGATTTCCTTAGTTATTTGTTGAAGTTCTAAGATAGTTATTTTTTGGTCAAGGCTAGGGGACGAATTTCGGAAGATGAACCACAAGGCTGAAGAGTCAAGATTTCAAGTCTCTTGATCTTTATTGCAATCTTAGTTCCCATGTATCTTAAATGCATTTTATGGTTACTAGGTCTTTAAATGCTTTCTAGTTCCTATGTCTTTAATATTTGAGTAGTTCCCATGTCTCTTTAATGATTGTCTATTTCCTATGCCGTAGTACATCTATAAATAGTAGGAGAGTTCTCCATTGTAAGGCAGATTTGGATGAATATATGAGAATTCTTCTACGTAATTTGAATTATTTATCCGATTCTTTATCCAACATCATTGGTAGTGAATCAAACAACTCTTTATCTTGGCCACTGGTGAATCAAATAGCTCTTTATCCTTGGCCGGTGGAGAAATGCTTTACGTCTTGGTGTTGAGCTGCCATCTATTCCGGTTCTTTATCCTTTGCTGGTAGCTCGTGCCTTTAAGCATCGGTGGTGAGCCCTCCATATCCTTCGTCCTTTACATATCGCCCCATTGTCACTCCACACACCGATCCACACACTTAGCCTTTCAAATGCCCAATTTCAGAATCACTCACCCACTCACGCATCAAGATAAAACCCTAACACCAAATGAAAAATAAGAATTTATTCTGTTTGAACTTCGTTATCCCCTTTATGCGAATTTTCTTTTTTTTTTGTGAATACAAAGAACAACGGCTACTCTGTCACCAAAACTTTAACCAGATTGATCGGGTATTTTTATGACCATTAGCAGTCATTTGGTCTAGACGCTTTTCATTCTCAAGTGGAGATGAAAATGAGGGGAAAACGGTCTGAACCTCAAGCAGTAGCTAGGATCCTTCCTCAAGCATTTGAGATTTGCCCCTTCAGCTCATTTCCTTGATGAGCAGGACAATAACTTGCTATTGGAAGGTTTAGTCAACGGGCATCAACGAAACAAACCCTCCTTGAGTGGCATAAAATTCCAATGCTCAAATAAGCATAACAGGAAATGGGAAGGGGATTCTTCGCAAGTAAGAAGAATTGCATGATCATTCTACTTATGATTATTCAGAACATGACACAGCTCATTAAGGAGTTCACATTAGCCACGGAATATAACGAATCTCGCAATTTATCAATTTAGTAAAGTATGTCCAGGAGCAGTTCAACATCCAAGTTCTTCATGTTGAATTTCGTTATGTCCCTCAATAGGACAGGCCATCAACGTGCTTGGATTTAGCAAGATATTTCTACAAGCTGCCATAGTACTTCCCCATCATAAGTGTGAGTTCTCAGCATGTTACTTTGGGTTCATGCAATCAAATGCTTGTACATATAATTAATACTAGCATTCTAGAATCAAACATCGAGAATCTTCTTTTTCTTCATAAATGAAAGAAACACAATAGGTATTGTGTGTGCAAACAAATCGAATGTATGCTGCGTTTGTGTTTTGCACAAGATGGTCACGATTGAAATCATGCAAGGATGAAGAATCTTACTGGAAGACTAATGAAAAGTGATGTACTTAGAAGGCCTTCCGTTCTAGCTACATTGCCGGCATGATGAGGAAAAACATTTTGCTGAAGCATCACAGTGACTTCCAAGATCTTCCCCAAGATTCCATGAATTTATGTAAGACAAAAACAACAAGACTGTCAAACGGGAAATACCAATGAGAAGTAGGTAATAATCTTAAAAGAAATTGCAGACAGGAAATACCAATGAAAATTGAGTCGCATGTTTCAGTAGGAAAACGATCGCTTATCGGCTTGACATGTCTTTGTTAGGAAATATGGATCATCTCAACTTCTATGACTCACCTGCATATACATCGTTGCATTTATAGAAGCATGATTCTGATAGAGTCGTTCCAGATAATTTTGGTATTGTTTTGGATGACTTGCATCCAGAAAATCTAATTGTCCAATCATATGGCTTTTTCTCAGTTTACGGCAATTTTTCTACAACCATACTATACCGATCAACTCGGACATGATGTCAAACTCTTCCAGGTCTTGAGGCAACACGAGTCTGGTAACCTTTTAACGATATTCTGCTTTTCCAAAAATTACAATCTATCAAGACCTTGAATTTCGATGAATTTTTTGCAATTCTAGCATAAAATTTCTTCAGACGCTTTAGTTTTTGAAAAGTCCAGCCTCTTTAAGGAAGTGCATCCAAAGATATCCAAGTCTTCCAAGATCCCCCAACCTATGAAGACCCTCCAAATCTAAAAGGTCCAGCCTTTCAATGAGTTAGGTACTATGCCCGTTTCCAATGGGCAAAAACGGTTCATCTAACTCAATGGGAGGGTGCCCCTGGATAGTCAAGCTTTTCAAGTCATTCAATCGGTCAAGACCTCTAATTTCTTGTATATTTCCGCAATTCTGAGCATGTAATACCCTCAGATGATTTAATCTTGAAAGGTCCAGTTCTCCCAGAGACTTGCAGCGAATGATATTTAACCTTTCCAATGATACTTTGAAACCTTTCAGCGGGGTCAATAACTGCAATGCTTCACATCCCGAAACTTCAAGCTCTAGTAGTGTTGAGGGAAGCTTTGGGATATATTTGAGAAATGTGCAGTTATGAAGTCGTAGTTTCTTTAGATGGATCAAGTGAGAAAATGAACGCAGAGTGACGCTCTTACAGGTGACACCGACAACTGTTAAGTTGGAAGGAAGCTCTGGCAGCGATTGAAGCTCCACGCAACCAATCAAATCAAGGTGTTGGAGAGAATAAAGATCACGGAAACTTGAAATTACCTTACTCAGGTTTGTGCACTTTGACGCATCCAACTTCCGGAGCTTTCTCAACCTTCCGATAGCATTGGGTAGCTCTTTTATACTAGTGGAACTAATATTCAGAATTCCCAAATTCTGCAAATTTTCTATGGAGTCGGGTAATACCGTAATTGTTGTTTTGGTTAGCACCAGTTCAGTCAATGATTCCATTTGACCAATCGAGTTGGGGATCCATCTCAAGTGGCGACAGCTTTGTAATGACAAGCGCCGCAACTTCACTAGGGACCCAATGCTGTCTAGACGAGGCAAGTCTAATGAGACAATGGTCAACAAATTCACCGGATCGCGTGAGTCCGGAAGTTGAACCAAAAATTCACATTCCTTCGCGCTAAGCATCTCCAACTTCTTCAAAGAACCGATAAATGAAGGAATTTCCTGAATTTTAGTTCGATCTAGAAGAAGCTCCTTCAGTCCTACTAAATTTCCCACTTCTTCCGGCAGCTTTTTGAGGCTCGAACATCCACTCAAGTCAAGAGAAACGAGGGTCTTCAAGTCTCCAATAGAAGGTAGAATATTCTTCAGCCCGTCACAATTTCTGAGGATCAGAATCTCTAATTTTTTTAAATCAGAGAGAAAGAAAGTGCTTGTCAAAGAACTGCAACCTGTAAGGTTCAGCACTTTCAGCTTCTTTGCCGCCTGCAAGAGAGAAAATGTCATCGGGTTAGCTAGAAGTGATTGTTATTGAAAAGATGGGGTAAACAATACTTTTCCATCTTACCATGATTGAATTCCATTCTATCCAGTCATCTGAAATATTACTTCTTGACAAATCGAGAACGGCTAATTCCTTTGCACCAAAATTCTCTGCCTCCAGAGATCGAGGACATCTCTCCCATCGAAACCATCTTAATTTGGAAAATATTTTCTTGAAATCTCCCAGAAAACTTGCATCACTTACGTGAAGGAACCGTAAGCCCTCCAAATTTTTAAATTGTTCATATGTGTAACTCTGACCGCCATTTGAGTTGCCTTTGTTAAGAGAAAGCGCCTGAATATTGTCAGTTCCCTACAAATAGAAGACCGGAGATCATAAATATTGCACCTAAACAACCAAGCAAAATAATAGGACTCTGCTCTCATATTGCCCAAAAAAGAGTGCATACGTTGCTTTTTATGCAAAAAAAGAAAATTGGCATATACTTTTGCTATTAACATACGTGTACATACGATGCGTGTTTGAAATATAATTTTATACATAATCCTGAAAATTCATACTCAGATCATATCAAGAGACCTAATATATTAAGTCATAGATTCAGAGTTAAGAGGGGTCCCATTTTGGTACAGTAGTGTAGATGTATTGCCACAGTTCTCTGTTGAACTTTTAGAGATAAATCTTTCAAATAAGCCCTGATTTCATTTATCTATAAGAGACTATTAAACAATAAGAACTCACCGCAAAAATGAGCCTTTGAGCAAAGAATGGACAAGTTACAATGAGAGCAGTTTAATTTTAATTTCTAAACAGTATTAGGGTTACCTTTTAAAGCTTAAGGAAATTTATAATACGGAAAGACGAAATTAAAAGCAAAATGTCTAATTGTGAAACCCAACTAGGGCAATTTCGTCTTTCTGGTATATCCGAAAAGGATTTAGCTAGATAGGATGAGAAAACAGCCACATCCCAAGATATTATGAAATAAGTCGAATTTGACGTATCTTTACCCTAGTATGATGGCAAGTGTTTTATATCAATATCAATCGTTTTACTACGGGACGATGAGTATTTTCCTTAGCGTTCAGAACTCGTGCGGGAGACAAGAGTTTTACTAGTAATTTACTCATTGAAGACTGGAGATACAACACACGATGACATGACTCCCGAACGATAAGTGAGACAAATTACGGAAGGCTAAAAGCATAGTTTTCCATTTTGGCTTACATGGATTGTTGGGCTAGGGGGCAGCACCGGACTGCTAGGAGCTCTGCCGGCGCCGGTAGGTCGGCTCGCTAATATATTCTTCAACAATATCTATTCCAAAAATTTAGTTAATTTAATGTATATAACGCGACTCCTACCATTTAATAAGCCTAGTAATTACAAACATTTACTAATGACCTAGTGATTTTATCATCTTATTTCACATATTGATGTTTGTTCGATTTAATGATTTTGTAGTAAATGAATAAGTTAAGCCAAGCCCATGGAATAGTGAGATGTTTAATAATCATACAATATGCATAAATTGAAGTACCGTAATATTCATAAAAAAAAATATAGGAAAAATTGATAAAGAAAATATTTATATGCTCCAAGACTACTTTATTCTAGTATAAATCAATTAGTGGGTTATAACTCACAAGTGATATGAAATTGCATAAAACTATTTTCTAATGAGCAATTTTAGTAAAAACACGTCATTTGGTAGAGCGTAATTTATTACTTCCATACCCGGACTTTTCTTATTTTGTCTGCAATTAGTTTCTTAATTTGTCTATGTTTGGATATATAGGATTCCTTATTCTGCCTATCTCATGTCTATGATTTAAGCATTTTAGAAAACACAAATATCGCGTATGTTTGTACGGACTTTTAAACTAAAATTTTAGTCACCATACTAACATATTTAATGTTATAACTAGTTAAAAAAAATTTGACAACAATATTGGTCTAATCCTCTTAAAAAGCATCAACTTAGCTCAAGTCTCGTTCTGGTGTCTCGTAAAAAAGCACCAACATTAGATTGTGCCCTAATTCTAGCTCAAACTTTTTGTTGTCTCATATAAAAGCATAAATTTTTAGTTGGTACCCAATATAACCCCCATTAAGTTTTCGTCCAATGATGCCATTAAAGATTTGATCAGCGGAAACTCAACGTATGCCAGATTGGGCACCAACTCAAAGTTGGTGCTTTGGGAAAAATTGTCCAAAAAGTCTTACACCTATTAAACTTTTGTCAATTCAGTCCTAAACCTTTTGATTATGTCAATTGAGTCATAAACATTTTCACATTTTATCAATTGAGTCCATTCGTCCAATTTTGGCCGGAAATCGCTGACATGGATATCGGCAGTCCTATGTGGCATGGCTAGCTTTAACATGGATAATTTTTAATAATATTTTAATTTTTTTCGAATTTCTTTTCTTTTCTTTTCTTTTTTTCTTTTCTTCTATTTTCCTGCTTTACATTTTTCTTTCTTCTTTTTTTTGTTTTCTCTTCTTTTTGTTTTTCTCTTTTCCTTTTTCTTTTTTCTTTTTCATTTTTCCCTCCACCGCCCATCACCAGGCCTCGTCAATGGCCAGCGACCTTCGCCGGCCATAAGTGAGGGTAGCCCTTCGCCAGATTCAAGCTAGCGAGGGTAGCCCTTCGCCAGATCCAAGCTAGCAAGGGCAGCCCCCGTCGACCCTAGCGAGGGCAACCCTCACCCAAGCAAGGGCTGCCCTCGCCTAAGGCCGGCGGAGGGAAAAAGAGAAAAAGAAAAAAGAAAAACAGAGAAAAGGAAAAAGTAAAGAAGGAAAAGAAAAAAAATTCAAAAATTCAAAAAATATTATTAAAATATTATTATAAATTGTCGACGTCAACACGGGCCGTGCCACATAAGATGACTAGCAGGCGTACACGTTAGAGATTTTCGGACAAAATTGGCCAGATGGACTCAATTAGCACATTTAAAATGTTTATGATTGAATTGTCAAAAGTGAAATATAGGACTTTTTGGACAATTTTTCCTCATGAGACAGAAAAAAAGTTTGGGCCGAAATTGAGACACAAGCTAAAATTGATTTATTTCATAAGACAAAAAAAATTGTTGGGCCAGCATTGGAGCCCGAGATAAAATTGATTTTTTTTTACGAGAAGTTTGGAGTAGAATTAAAACTTAAGTTAAATTGATACTTTTTAAAGGAACTCGGCTCAACAATATTTCATCCTCATATCAAGCAATGCCCCTGCAAGGATAGGGACTACTCGTTCCACCACATAATAATGGACAACTCGGTGCCTTGGTAAGGGTGATTGGTTCTTGGTCCGGTCCGATCTCACCTAGGAATCTGGAACCGGACCAGGAGGACCGGTTCTTAAAACTGGGAACTGGGGACCAGACCGATTGGTCTTGGGACCAGGAACCGACCAGCTAGTCTTGGGACCGAGAACCGGACCGATCGGTGGTCCGGTCCGGTCCAATGAAACCAGTCACATAAAAGTGCTTGCTATTCTAAAACTTCTTTTTGTCCTTTGCATTAAGCAAATGAAATATCTACCAAACTTGTTTTTTTTTTTTTTGCAAACAGATGACATGAAACCTGAACAAATCTGTGGAAAGAGTTAATCATATTACATTGAGCAAAATCATCAAGCTCCTTGGGACCTATCTTTGCTCAATGTGAAGAAGATGTGCATGAACAACTTAACAAAAAATTAAAGGATCATGTTGTTTTCACCAAAGTTTCCACCACTGGGGGAGATGGGAAATCAAACGACACTCTTTCTGGAAATGTTTAGCCTGAACTCAAATGGTGCCGAAGTGAAGGGAGTAGGGGCAAGAAAGGAGTGGTTTAAGAAAGGTCGGAAGGATCCATGTAGCGACATCAATCTTGCATAATCTCAGCAATTATAAGAAGAATACATCGATGATGGAACTGGCTTGAATTGAACAGGATATTAACTAGAGATTGAGTTGATAGCTTGTCCTATCGAAAAGCATTAACTCCAGCAATGCTACCACATAGCAAGCAAAAGGGTTTAGCAAAAAACATCTCTTTATAACAGACCAAGGGAAACAATACAGAGACACTACAAAAAAAATTATAATTTCCGTCTCATCATTAATAAGTATGGAAGGAGCTATGTAACCATCTTCTCAGCTAAAGAACAAAACAACGTCGCTCAATTATCAACGCACACAATCTGAGAGCCTACAGAGATGAAGCCTCCATCTAACACAAGACAAAAACACTAGTTTTCATCCCTTGTTTCTCTGTTTCATCACACTTCAACTTTACTTTACTTAATTTTTGAAGGAATAAAATAAAATAATATATATATATATACATAGTCGATCCAGTTCGGTCGGTCCGATTCCCATCCTGAAACCAGGAACCGGACCGAAAATTACGGATTCCGAGGGAACCGGACCAACACCTCCTGGAACCGCCCAGAACCGGCCGGTCCAGTTTGGTCCGAGCGGTTCCCGGTTCGGTCAATCTGTCTTGCATACCCCTAGGCCCTTGCCCTGTGCCCATCCCCACCACTAATGGTCGTGACTTAATAAACTTTAACACTCAGTTAAGGTGACAGGGTTAGTTAGGAGGGATCGGAGAGGAAGAGAAAAAAATTTTAAAAATTTTCCTACTTTGAACGGAAAGGATTTGGAGTGATTCAAATCCCAAATTTGCTTGCTTTTTCAAATCACTGCAAATCTGAAGGGAATCGGAGAGATCAAGAAAGATTTATAGATATTTCTGTCTCTCTTCCATATATAATGCTCCCTATTTTGTGTATTAAAAAAACTGTCTTTGATAAGGACAAAATAGTTACAACAATATAGTTATATTCCGTTCCGTTCTTTCTCTTGCTCAACTATACATGAATTGACCAAATTCCCGTCATTTCTTTTCTCTTCTTTCATAAGTATTTAAGCAACCATAATATCACACCATTTCCTTTCTTTTACTTTCTATCCTGAGGTCTTTATCAGAATCCTTTCCATTCCCTTCTAATCACTCCATCCAGACTGAGTAGGCTGAAACTTTGGAGAAACTGCAAAACTTCCTAATTAGACCAAACACCCTTCTAGTTCCTAATCACTTTGATAATATAACGTAAGCACGATAGTATAATGGAAGATCTTTTAAACTAGAGTCAAACATTAATTAGAGGGTTAACATCATTTAAAACAAGAGCACATGAACGAGGGGAGGAGAAAAAAGATGTGTCGTTACCGTATTTTTCTCTAGCACTTTCAAGGCTTCCTCATATTCCCACATTCTACTGCCTTTGTCAAGCTCGTTGCCATTTCCTTCGAGAACAATACTCCTACCAAGATCCCTCAGTTCGTCGTGCATTCTAAGCTCATGATTATCTCCAATTTTTATCAATGACAAAAATCTTAGTTCTTCAATTCCCAGCACCTGATGAGAGTCACTGGCGTCCCACATGCATGATGCGATTCTGGCATCACTCCCGACTAAAACACAAGCAATATCCAGAAATATCTTCTTTTGTTCGGACTTTAATGCGTCAAAAACCATCTTCAAAATCTCTTGCACTTCCATTTGAGGCAACTTTTGCAACTCTCGCAACTGATGCAACTCTTGCAACTGTTGCAACTCTTGCCACTTTGCCAACACTTGTAACTCTGGCGATACTTGCGACTCTTGCCACTCTTGCAAAAGTTGCGACTGTTGCGACAGTTGCAAGAGTCGCAACGCTTGATTGTCTTGCGACTCTTGCGATTCTTGCGACTCTTGCAACTGTTTCAACTGTTGCAACTTGTCCAACTTGCGCGAGTCTCGCACATTTTGTAACTGTTGCAGATCGTTTCTAGTATTTTCCCATGACTCTCGACTCTTTCCACATAAATATGAACCTATAACCTCAACAATTAAAGGAAACCTTCGAATAGCAAGTACCACATCATGAGGAATAGTGGAAAGTTCACTAGGGAGAGAGTCACTCCGAAATGCATGTCTAGCAAGGAGGATCTTAGCTGCATCTTCATCCATTTCTTTATGCTCGTACGCGTAGTCCACTTTAGCCCAATCAAGTACGCTCTTATTTCTTGTGGTAATAATGACCCTACTTCCTGAAGCAAACCAGTTCCGCTCTCCAACTAAAGCTTCTAACTGATGATTAGCATCCACATCATCAAGGAGAATTAGGATTTTCTTACCTTTAAACCTAGATGAGATGACAGTAATTCCTTCGTCCTTATCATAAACTTGAACTTTTTCTTTCAGTATATCCATGATTAATTGACTCTGCAAATGCTCAATAGCGTTGCACTTACATGATTCCCTAACGTTGGGGATGAAGCTACAATGGTCAAATTGGTCAGAGAGCTTATTGAAAATGACTTTAGCAAGAGTTGTCTTACCAACACCACTCTCTCCATGGATTACAACATATAGGGTAGAAGCGCGACTATCATCTACAAATTCCATAATCTCTTTCACGGGACTTTTAATCCCGACCGGATTCTCGGCAATAAATTGCTCAAGAGCTTTCTTCAACTCCATCAAAACTTTTCGGACGACCAATTGCCCTCCATCCCTGTCAAATAAAAAAAGATTTCAAATACATGGCAATACTAAATTGATAATATATTTGACGAGAGCACAAAAGCAAATGGAAAAGTTACTTTATTGTTTGTCCCGCCTCCTTATCTTATCATATCTGCTCAGATAAAAGTGGTTATAGCAATCGCAGGGTTGCTCCACATGACAAACCCCGTTAACCTCTCTTAATTGTAAGTCTAACGTCCTTGTGGCTAGCGAATTTTGAAGTTTGTTTATTTAATGGATTCGAATCACATTTTGAAATTTTTGGCCCGTTAAAAAAAGATATAATGAATGACAACACAAAGTAATTTACCCTACATAATAAGAACTATCACAAAAACACAGGGATGGATGGTGAGGTATGGACATATGACGTTTCATACTCACCCCCACTTTTTCTTTAAGCAATATCTCGCTAATATAAGAAACTTAACAAGGTTTTGGTGAAATAGATGGAGTACCCATCAGCGACTCTCTCCCATTCCCATCCTTTTAGGGAACTGACTTCTGTAAGCGCTCGCTCCCATTCCTCCACAATTTTGGCGTCCCAACCATCTATTTCACATCGGACGTCTGCGGGTTTCACTCCGTAGAATATGGGCAAGACTACATGGCCCGAGCTATCATTCTTGCACTTCATTATCTGAACCAGTTCATCGAGGCACCATCTGCTAGAAGCGTACTTTGGAGACAGAATCGGGATCGAAATCTTGCTGCCCTTGATGGCTTGAAAAGGATCAGGCCCGATCTTCTCGCCTAGGCTGAGCCAATCATCGCTTCTGAATACACATATCCCGGCATCGACCATGCCTTTGCAGAGGCTATTGGCGAACATCTTTAGAGCATCTTCGCCGCTAAAACTCAGGAACACCTCGGATTTACTAGCTTTCTTCCTGTGGAGATGCTTGTACGCGATCCCTAATAAGAGGACCGGTGCGACCAGCGCGACGGATGAATACCCAGACATCTCCTTCTTGGTCCTCAATTTTTCCTTCAAGTCTGACGCTGAAAGGAAATCGAAATGGCTTTTCAGGAAAAATATTTGAAACGCCTTTTTGTCGCGAGGAAGGTTTTTTTTTTTTTTTTGATAATGCCAAGAAGTGGAAGTTATCTATGTCTTTTCCTTATATTTTCTTCTTGCACGCACATCGACGAGAATGTTGAAAAGAAAAGAAACTCTTCGTTATATTGAATGCATTTAATGTTTTTTTTTTATCGAAAATGCATTTAATGTTCAAAAGCCCCTTTTGCTATAAAATATTAATATCGTATACTCACTGTTCTAAAGAAAGTTTCTTCCGTAAATCTTCATCTGCCCTGCATCTTTATAGATCTTATTAGCGAGATTTAAGGTAGTTAAATTTCTCATATCAAAAGTGTATTAGACCGTCTATGTAAAGTTTTCGTTATATTGATGATGTATATTGTATTTTTACTTAATTTAGCCCATATCGACAAGGACAACTCAAAATATCTTTTTGACTACAAAACACTATTATATGATCTGACGAAAATAATTACATGTTTACAAATTAATAGAGTAAACAGTAATTTTAAAAGCATATGAATCACAATCATGTTTGGTCATCAGTATATCTAGACTACAAATCTAAGCCAATCTTTTTATTCCTCCACAATTTCAGTTCTTTTCCTAATTAAAAGAAATCAAGTAGCGCCTATTTTCCTTTTTCTGATGATGTTAAACGTATTTAATATGAAATAGTTAAATTTGCAGATCAAGTATAACTAGTCAAGTTTAATATATGGACGAAACCGCGTTCGATGTGCCAACCTGGTATAATAAATGCTGGCCCACCACCGCAGCAGCATATACGCGAATCTACACTCATTACCTTTTCTCTGAATTAAAAATATGTGCCAACTTCCTTTGGACAAAGGGTGAGGATGGGCAATTTGTCAACCTGACCCGTCACCACCAACTCTCTAAGCTCTCTTCCCGTGAAAACAAGAAAATAAATAAATAAAGACCTTCAAACGAAATGAAATTCTACTTTGAGTTCACCCCAAAAAAGAGAGAGATATATCATTGGGTTGCGAAAATCACTTTTAAATTACCGGGTAATATTGTCCATCCATCTGAACGAATTGAACCATTATATTTGATCAGATAAGTCATTTCATGATGACTGAGCGCTAGGCATGTGAGCAGCCTTGCCCTCGAGGCCAAGAATTTCTTTTTTACTTCTTCTCATTATTGAGAAAAAAAATTCAAATGACACTTGCTCTTCGTTTTATGATTTTTTGGTCAAGCTACTAAAGGTTATCATTACATATAATATGACAAAGAAAATCAATATAATGAGGATTATAAAATTTCTTTAGTAGTGTTGAATAAGTATTTTTTTTGTTCTCACTCATCTCTTTTATGTAGGGCTAATTCCAATAAAAAGCACAAACTTTAGGTCGAGTGACAATTTTGGCCCCAATTTTTTTTTCATTAAAAGCACTAATTTTAGGTTAAGTGACAATTCTAGCCCCAACTTTTTTTTTGTCTCATAAAAAATCACTAACTTCACCCTTATCCCAAATATGGCCCCCCATTGACTCTCTATCTGAAGTCATCCTTGTTTGAGAAAAAAAGTTATGGTCGTAAGCTTGGTGGATCTTGTCCATGGCATCTGTCGACAGACAGTAGTCTACAGTTTCAGATTACGATAAAATGACGAAGTCTGATCAGAGAGATTCAATTTGGAGATTTTTTTGACTTACCGATCAAGTGAAGGAGATGTACAATTTCACCATTATCCTACAACCTGTGGCTCAGAGAAGAAGACAATGAATAATGCTTTAAATCCAGTCAGCAAGACACGTTAATTTATTGTTGCGGTGGAATAGTCAAGTTGGATAATCAATTATTCTAAGTCAATGGAGGCCATATTTGGGATTTAAGTGAAAGTTTGTGATTTTTTATGAGACAAATAAAAGTTAGGGCCAAAATTGTCATTCGACCTAAAGTTTACATGACAAAAAAAAAAGCTGGGTCGGAACTGTTGCATGACCTAAAGTTGATGCCTTTATTTTTTAAATTAGGCCCTTTTATGTTCATGTATGTGCGATGCTCAAGGAGATTGAATCCCAAACCTAGTACTTCTGACCCTACCCTAATCTCCTTACCAACAGGGCTACATGTCTGTTGAGTGAATAAGTATTTATAAGGCGCTCATTAGTGAATTTTTTTTTCTTTCTAATTAAAATATTCATATCTTGGTTATCCTGGTGATTGAATAGACTGAGCGGATCAAGTCGACAGGTTCTTCGATTCCCAGTACATGGCCCCATATGAGGAAGAGAAACGGGACTCATATCATATAAACCTAGAATCTTTTCTTGTATTTCCCAAATTGCCCCATTTTCAAATTATATCCCGGATGAAATTGAAAGTCGCCATGTGCATTTGGACAGGCTCTTCAAATTATACCGAACATTGTGGATTAGCTTTCAAAGGAATCTGACAAAGGCACCGCCCCTCTCGGATGGATTTGCATATTTATATTTGTTAATGTTTGACTAAGATTGGTGATACATCACATACCTGGTCTACCAATTCACTTTCTGGATTTACTTGAGGGTAGGTGAAATGCAAATGAAATGTAATCAAAACCAAATGAAATTCTACTTAAGACTTTACCAAAAGAAAATACAAAAGAACAAAGCGTAATTGGGTTTCGGATCTCTCTTTCCATATTGCCGGTTGAACATGTGGGCCAGTGAATGACTCGGACTAATGAATGTATCTTTAATTAATGAGTTAATATCACGAAAAATCCTAATTTTGTACGTCCGTAAAAAATTTATCCCAAATTAATTTTTTGATTACCAAAAATTCTAAACTGATATGCACGTGACAAATTTACCAAAACTAATTTTTTAACCACCAAAAATCTCAAATTAGTACATTTGTGACAATTTTACCCTCCGTTTAATTGGATTAATACCACGAAAAATCATAAACCGGTACATCTGTGACAAACGGAGAGTAAAACTCCAAACTGGTATATCGATCAACTACTAAGTGTTATCCAACTCAGCAATTTGACAGTAAAATTTAACGAAAACTAACGGAGGGTAAATTAATTATAGATATACCAATTTAGAGTTATTAATTTGGGTAAATATGTCATAAATACATCAATTTAGGGTATTTTATGGTATTAATCCTCCGCTGGCGTTTACTGATCGACCAGTCATTCATTGACCGACCGCTGTAACCACTACCAATCTTTTCATAATACCGATTATAGCCTTCTCTTTTTTCGAAATAATAAACTTTCATTGTCTGAATATCTCAATGAATGGTCATGTGGACAATTGAGCTGTTTCTGTCAATGACATGTGCGCGTTCGCAGCAGGAGCCAGTGAGTCTTGGCCGTTAGTCTTTCTTTTCTATTTTTCTATGAAAACAAAAGGCAAGTCAAGTCACGTCGTGTCGTACTGGATCTCAAATTTCAATCAAAGCACCTGCATTGGAGCAAGTGGTGATCCAACATCGAAGACTGAGAATCGGGGGAGATCATAGCTGGAGCATGTGAGCATTTGTTTGTTAGTTTTCTCTTCTATTTTTTTTCTTTTGATTAATAGAACATGCAAGTGAAGTCAACTCAAGAAGCACGTGCATACATTAAAAGTGATCATCACCGGTATGTATTTGTAAACTTCTTGTAGGATCAAATTAGAAAGATAGAATAGCTTACAAAAATGAATTACAATATGAAAAGGATACGGGGTAAAATTGAATAAATTATAAAAATACCAAAACGATATATCGTATTTTAATATAACCTTGTTTATGGTCATGTTATATTTTTTCTATATATCAATCTGTTTGACAATGAAAATACTAATCTCTTTGATTGTAGACTAGAAAAGAAAATCATACAAATCCTCTTTGGTTAAAATTGCGTTTGCTTTACTTAATAGTAGAGTAGCATCAACTATAAAATATTCAATTAAACTTACATTCACTTAATCTAAAGCATATTATAATTTCGACATCATAAAGATCATATTCATGTCTTACACTCACTTAATCAAAATCATAAAGTGAAATTGAAAAAAAAAATATTATTCATATATCTTCATGCAATTTTATTAAATCTACTGCCGATGTAAGAAATAACTCACACGTTCAATGTTGAATTAGTGCTACACTGGCGGTGGACGTATAAATAATCTTATCTTAATTTCCTATAATTTTTTTTGATATGTTGTGTTATTTCTTGTTTGGCAAGTTGCGTGATATAAATAAATGAAGAGATTGAAAAGATCGAATAAGAATCTAAATTGTTAAAAAAAAAAAAATGGAAGCATAATTGTTTCTCCATATGTATTTATTTCTTAATTTCAATTTTCTCTAAATTAAAAGCTCATATATCCAAGCATAATTGTTTCTCACTTGTGGCTGGCAAGGGTCAGTTAGCCACCCTCGCTGGCCCTAACTCCAAAAAAAAAAACAAAGAAAAGGAAAAAAAGAAGAAGAAAAAAAACCATAAAAAATTTAGAAAATTATTAAAATATTATTTAAATATGTCCATGTCAGCGCCACGTGGCTGCCCGGTGTTCACGTTAGCGATTTCCCGCTAAAATTGGCCGGATAAACTCAATTGGCAAGAAATGAAAATATTTAAACTCAATTGGTAAAGTTGAAAGATTTAGAACAAACTTGGCAAAAGTGCAATATGTTTATGACTTTTTGGACAATTTTCCCATTAATAATGATGAGCACTTCAGCAGTCTACATATGGTGCCTCGAGGCATCAAGCGCATATGGTAAACCTACCTCAGACACGTAAAGGTAAGAAGATAATAGAGATGATGCTCAGGGGTTTATATTTGCCATGCTAAGGTTGCGAGTTATGGCTTTCTCAGTAGCCTGAAAGTAGACCGAAGACGATCTAGTGTAATCTCAAGGTGGTTGCACAAAAGCCAACTGGTTTGTAAATTAAAGTGCTAAAGCTTGATGCGCCTAAGCAAATATATCGGCGATCTTATCAATGCTGGTGTTGCAGAAAAGTGTGTTGCACCGAGGCGACTCAGAACTTCAAATCAGAAAGAGA